GGCTGCGCACAGCAGGTACCTGACCTCCGACAACCCTCGCAACCACACTTCTTCACTGAATATAAAATTTTAATATATTAATGGTAGAGCCCGGTTTGATATCTTCGAACAAATGTGTCACTCTTCTGCTCAATAGCATGACCACACAGAAGACAGGCAGAAAGTAATACCGCGTACAGTCTTATTTTTTTATAAGAAAACAAGCGACAAGAACACAGACTTGACGGAGTATGATTAGAAATGTCCTGTTTCTGTGTTTCTTCCTTACCTAATTATAACATGATGGTAAAATATTTAGTAGTTTTTTTTTAATGGAGGCAAGGAAGCAGTGGATTCTTAATCATTTTTATACAAAACAAAGCTTCTATTAGCGTAAAAATAAATGACTTGGACAAAAACCCAAAAGTCACTAAATGAAACTTAGTAAAGCTAAGTAAATTTGTCTTACTAAATCTACACTAAGGGACACCACTACCGTCGAGAGAATCATCGCCTACAACATACAAATGGCGAAGAGAAACAGAGACAGCGATCGTAGGTCTGAAAAAAATTACATACACTCGGTTCAAAAATACATCCGTCGCCACTTACAACTGTCGTGCTAGTATAACTAAAAGTAGTAGTATAATTGTATTAAAAAAAAGGAACTTACTAGTGATATAAGGATTACGCAACAAAAAAAAAAGAAAAGGAAAACAAACTGTGCAAAAAAGAGTACGGACCAAAAGTTTGTAGAAGTTGATAAATAAAAAATGGGGGACACCACTAAAATAGTTTTCAGAATTATTTTGTTCGCTCATTTACTGAAGTATTAAAAACTTACTGTCATGTTTGGCGACATGTTTTCTATAATTGGAGCCGTCTCTGAAGCGTCGTCCGCACGCGCTGCACTGGTAGGGGCGCTCCTCCGTGTGTGTAAGGCTGTGCTTGCGCAGTGATGTTAGATTGTTGAAACCTTTATTACATACTGAACATGCATACTTTTTCTCTTCTGAAAAAAAAACAATCTCAATTTTATTTACAGTAACACAAGTTCCAGCATTTATAATAGAAAAAATTGCATAAAAATTACATATTTCTATACTGACATATTTATTAGTTAAAAAAAGATATAAATTTGCATTATCCAAAAAGGATTTTTTTATTTGACTTATTAAACTTTTTATGGGACCATACTAATCCACTTTCCATGACCCCCAACAAATAATACCCCAAAAACTTGGACCTCCAATAGGTCCACATACACTAAAGTACATGTGAGTTAAACCTTGATTTATAATTAACTAGCTAGCTCTTGACTTTGCTCGCGAGAAATTAAAAAATAATAAAAAACATAGCTTGCATTCCTCACTGATAAGATAGCTTTTTAATGGTGAAAGAATTTTTGAAATAGGGGTATTTCAATATGAAAAAAAAATACAAATCTTTCCTCTTTATAATATTAGTATAGAAGTATATGGATTAATAAATATATGTTTTAGTATTATTCGCCTCAGTTAATCAAATAACATATAACTTACTTGTGTGCTTCAGTTTGTGACGTTGCAGCTTAGACATCTGGAAGAAACTGTCACCGCACACATCGCAGGCGTACGTCCGTTCATTGCGGTGTACACGCATATGATACTTGAAGTGGGAGTGGGTCGCAAAGCTCTGAAATATATTAGTGTTCCATTTTGAACGATTTTTTCTCTCAAGTTTTGTAATTTTTATCCATCTCTATCTTTTGTGTTAATGGCGTTTCCTTAGAGATTTCGTCAATGTCAAGTATATATAATACTCTAACACAACTACGACAACCACGATATATATAAAGGAGTTAGTTGGTAACATGACAGACAATCTACAGCTTAAAATTATTATGGTTAATGAATGAACTAAGAACATACACGAAAGGGGAGTTCACAAGAGATAGAAGTGATTTGAGATCAATGGGGCGAGGTTGTAATTTTTATTTTATTTACTCTTTAGTTGAACTTCATGTTTAATTAATAAATTTAATCAAAAATGTAGTTGATTTACTTGTTGCAATGTTGATACTAGGACACTAGCTGTAACATCGACAAGAAAAATACATTATGTGCTTCTTAAACAATAAAAAAAACTATTATTTTGAGTAATATCATAAAGGTTTTGATTGCTTTTGACTGTTAGGTAGTTTGTGGGAATACTATAGGCTACTTTTTTAAATCCAACATTGGCAAGCAGATGTAAAAAGTAATTAATTTAAATAATCAGATCTACAAAAAAGTTATTGTGATAAGGGAATTGGTCCCTCTTTATGTTTTATAATGTGATACAGGTAAACACATACCTTGTTGCACTCTGGACATTGGTAGGGTTTTCTCTGTCCATTACAGTATGCATGGTAGGCAACTTGGCTG